ACTGTCAGCCACTAAGCTTTCCTGACTAGACTTATCGAGTGTCCCAGATTTTATACAAAACAAATTGAGGAAAAAAATCACCGGCACTTCCACAGAATGAATGATATTAGAGGAGCTTGCTCGGAGGTGCAAGGGGCGTTTCTTGGCAAGACTATTTCTGCCTTGCCAAGAAACGAGCCGGCACATAATGTGTACGTTGAAGGCAGCGTTGTCGGGCACGTTCCGTGGCCGCCACTGCACAGCGTTGGCCACGTCGATTGGCACGTTAACCACCTGCCCCTTTCTGTCATACTGGCTGGTCGCTGCCGTGATTCAAATGCTTAACGCTCATATATGACAGACATGGAGCTATCAGGCGTTCTTCAACAGGGCTGAGAGCAGACAGGTGAGGGGGCTTGGGAGGATATCGGTACAAGTGCGGAACATTCATTGTAGGAAGTTGTCACATGCTGCCGTGCCTACGAAGCGGCGATCCTCGCCCTGCCGACCTGCCTGATGGTTTTTACAGAGAAAGTTGTCATGAGATCACAACTAGTGTCTGGCCCAGCGTCGTAGTTGTCTGCCACCTCCGGTGCCCTTAACTACAACGCGCGGCATCGCGCAAAATTATAAAAAAACTTAGTACCAATGACACAGTGGGGCTCGAAGCTGGAACTGCTGGATGCCAGCCCAGTATTCTACCACAGAGCCATGCCGATACTTGGGACTTGTTGGCAAAGGCTTGATGTCGGGAAAGCAATCGCGTTAATATGACTTATAAAGCATTTTAAAACAGCGAAAAAAACAAGCAGTCGTCGCATAATGCGAATAGCAAAACGAGTTGGTCGCCCGATGCTCCAACCCATTGCAAAAGCTTGTTTTTGTTCAGCTATAATTAACTATGGCACATACCCACTTCAGGTACAATTCCACATCATCATCAGCCACTGTATAAACAATTGGCAAAAAATTCCTTGGGATAGTTTAGCAGTACCACGCTTTTCAAAAGAATGATAAAAATAGCATAGCAAATGCCGGCCTACTACCCTAAAATATTTATTATTAATGAGTAGTGGGCATCAAGCAAGTGTGCTTGCAGCAGTTATTCAATGAGTGTTTAGTAAAGACAAGACCGCTCTTCTAGCTTTCGCTGTGACTGTGCTGTGCCTTCAGCACAGGCCTGTCATTTTTTTTTAGTGTAAATGCATTTCTTAGTCGGTTTATGTCAGGCATCCGGCGTTGTCCGCAGTGGTGTCCACTCGCTGGCAGGTGTTATCTCTCCGCTCTCACTCTCTCTCCTATAGCAACAGCTGCTGGTGCACCAACTTATCTTTGCCCCTAGCAACTGGAGCATGTTTGCGAGAGTGTAGAAGAGGGTAGAGGCAGTGCTTTGCCCCTCCTAATCTTGCCCTTCACTTTCTTTCCTCTGCGCCTCACTTTCCCGTTTGCTCGCGCCTCACTCTCGACCCTTTGCTGCCTGAGCACCTCTTAAGAACATCCGGAAATGTGTGCTCGAGAAACTTTGAAACGCCAAACAGAGCCGAGAACGCTGTTTGTTTTGTTCACTTCATAGTGTTCTTTAATCATGCATGCTAGCTACTAGAACGGGAAACGCATACGTTTCTCATGACAGAAAAATGCCACGTGCAGCGAATGGTGCGATTGGCTGCACGGTGTTAAAAAAGACAAAAAAAGAAAACATTATTCTTCTAACGCTGGGTTTTCACAACTGAAACATCATTATGGACGCTGTGCAATGTATTGAGATTTTCTCATGATTGCCTTCGGGGAGGTTCGGAGATTTTTTTTTTTTCTATCCCAGCTCGCAGGGGGCGCACGTTCGCACGTGGCCAGATGAAACACCGCTGGCACGCTCCTCTTTTTCTCGCTTTCACATTTTTTTCTTTCTCCCACTACCCATCCCCCAGTGGCGCTGTTGAGGTGACCTCGTGACCTCCTGGGAGAGAGACAGGTTCCGGCGCCACACTTTTCACTTTCCTTTCTTTCAAAGCCACTTCGAGGAGGCAAGTGCGCGGGCTATCGAAAACCGATGCCTTGGGTGGCGTTGCGCCGTTCAGTGAGCATTGTCGGAATCACTGCAGAAGCAACCTTGAATGTGACCGCTGCGTACATATTGGCAACACTGGTGTACACGCTAGCCATCGCCATATTACAAGCCGCGAGCAAAAGGAGCAAGTTCCTAAAAACAAAAGTGCCTATGCGTATTGGTGCGAACAGTGGTTCTCAACTCATTGCACTGATATTCCGACCTTTGTATAATTTTCTATTTCGTTCTTTTTTTATCCAAAAGAGCAAGAAGTAATTAAGTAGTTTAATGTGCTACAGGAGTGCATAGTAGATTAAACACAAGATAAATACGTACAAACAATGCAGCAAAAGCGTGATCTAGTGTGAAATCATGCAGACAGTCAAACAGGGGGAGCCTCCATATCATAGGCAGAATATGCTTCACTCGCTAGTAAGACTAACGTTGCATGAGCTTCGTGCATCAATACAGTAGAAAGGTGCATAGATATTATGCATAAGCTGTCGTAAATGCATTTATTCTCTGACAGTCTGCTCAGAATGCACGCAATAAAGCGCCGTTGCGTGCATTTGTATACGTGCCACCGACTGCATATGCACACTTGCGCAGGGACGGTGCCACCACCTGTAACCCTATCTCTTTGTGAATCGCTCGCACGTCTCAACGCGCTCGCAGTTCGTCTGGTTCGGTTATGTCCTTCGAATTGCTATCGCTTCTCGCGACCACAAAGATGTTGGCTGTCTGGTTTTAAATTTCTAAAAGGTTGACTATTTGTGACCCTCTCGTTTATTGCTGCCCAGGCCCACAAAGCTGATGGCCATCTGGTTTCTAAACTTTCAAAGTGTGGAATCCAGAAGTGCCAAATCAAAATCTGATTCATTGGATGTCAGTTTGTCAGATAAGGATTTACTCAGGAGTTGATATGAGTCAACTCACATGACATGTGTGTTGACTCACATGATGATGATAATGGAGTGACATCTTGAAAGCATTTGTGGTGTGGAGGGATCAAAGATGACTGTTCCCCAGTTGTTAGTGGAAGAGCAAAAACATTTTCTTTCCAGAAAAGTACCCTGGTGTGCTTGTTTTTGTAAGTCTGTGAGCTATGTTTATACAATGCATACTTTTTATTTGAAAGATGATAAACGTATTTTTTAGAATTTTACTTGATGCTCACAAATAAACCATGAGTATGTAAATACAAAAAAAATTTTTTTTTGTTACTTAACGACAACGCAACAGATTTTTAGACTATCTTTCTTGGAAACAGAATAAGCTCAAACATTTATTTCAGCAATAAAAAATTACAAACTTTTGAACCCCGATTCGCCAAAAAAAATTATTGTGTGCAAAACAACAAGCTCATGTGCCAAGCCAGAGAACACAATGCAAGATGAAAAAAAAAAAAAAAATCACAGCCTATCCACGGAGCAAATGATGACGAGTGGGGCGAAGCGTCTGTCAGTCCGTCCGTGCTTCCGTCCGCCTGTTCGCTTTTACTTCCGTTCGTTCGTGCGTTTATCTTGTGAACACTCCAAGTACCCCTGTGGCACATACTAGCTTCACACATCCATCGATCCGTCCGTCTGTCTGCTAATCTGTCTGTGTGTCTGTCCATGCGCCCGTTCGTGCGCCAACCTAGTGAACACTCCAAGTACCTCTTTCTTTCCTCTCGCGTTACGGTGGCTACGTACAAAAACGACGAAAGATGGACAGACCCATGCCTTAAGAAGCTTCGCCCCTAAAAAACGTGATTGCTTGGTCATTCAGCTTAAAGGGACCCACAACCGATATTCATGGTACCTGTTTTCTTAAGTGCAGAGAAAGCTCACCGGTCAGAGCTTGTAACCACGAAATGGTAACGCAGAAAACATCGTAGAACATTTATAATCCGAATTTTTCGATTTGAAGCGATTATGCAGTCTTAAGGAGACATGCTGCAAACACTGGATGTGATCGCGATAGCAATTGTACGCCAGAGTCATGCCAGCAGTGATGAAAATTGACGACCTAAGTACAAACAGATAATGTGTTTGCCAAGCCTACAGTCCCCCGACCAGTGCTTTTAAGTGTGCTAAATTATTTTACAAGAGCTATAGCCCTTTCCCGGAGCTTCTTATGAAAGTATATTTGGTCGTGCAAAGGTTATTTTTTTTTTACTTTCGCCAAGTGCAGCTAAGCCAAGTCTTCAAAAACGAAACGAGGCCTTTACAAGTGATCGACGATCCACACATAGTAGCTCATGTGCGGCCGTAGTTGGGTGGCTTTGATATGTCATGCTTGACAACTTGAGCGAGTTATAAGAACGAATTCTGGCTCGCATGTGAGCGCGAAATTTAGACCTCTATCAAGTAGCGCCAGAGCGACATGCTTCAACAAACGACAGCGGTCGCGATGAATCTGACGGACCGCCACCATCGCCACCCCCAGCCGCACGCATGAAGCAATTCTCCACAGAGTAGTAGACCGACAACATTTCGCGTGCCGCAACGACTGCATTCACAAGCTCACCCTACTCTGGAAGCGTCGCCCGGCCGGGCACATGCGCAACTGCACCAGTTTCCCTGCAGAGGCCACCGAAGCAGTGCCACTTTTCATGCTTTACTTCTTTTACCTTGTAAGCCACATAGAGACAAATGAAAAAAAAAACAATAACATACATATTCGAAATTTAAGTCCTCATTCTTGTGCACTTTAAATATTTACAGCAATGTTATTAGGACTTCATAATGGTGGTTCATGGCTATAGCGCTAGGGGTGCAACATGCTGGTTTTGGTTACTTCTGAACATGATTTAAAAATATAAATCCGACTGAGATCGCGAAAAGTATGCTGTCACCTGTAACCATATGTCATGCTGTTTTCCTTTCCACCGGAATCTAATCACCCGTTCAGGCCAGTTGTGGGTCCCTTTAATTGAGTATCCTTAGTTGTTTCTATTATTGTATCATTCTAAAACATCAAATGTGCTCACCTATGTAGTCACCAGCTAGGAAACGCAAGGCCGAGGAGACCATGTCTGGCCAGCTGTCCCGACGTCCAAACCACTCAACCTGCTGGGCACCCGAAGAGTGGCTCCAGGTCTTGACCCGCTCCTCCAGCTGCACAAGCAATCAGAGGAGACTATATTCACACACTAGAGGAATACTCCTTTCTAATGAAGAGGGGCCCCCGAGGCAGTCCATCCTGGATATATTAAAGAAATTTTCACAGAATTGGATATTGTCACATAGCAGGATACTGTCACGTAGCAGAAAGGTAGCAGACTCGAAGTTCAGATAAAACTATTTATTCGGCCAAACTTGTGGCTCGTAAATAAAAAGCCAGATTATAGCAACACGCGGGCCCTGATAGCGGCAAGCAGAGTGCCGACGGTCGATCAAGTGACAAGCGGTGAAGTGCGTTGGCATTTATACACGTGAAGTCGACTGTTCTAGCATTATCGCTAGCGGCCACGTAGGTTCCAGAATAATCTGCAATGTTCTTGTAGTGGGCGTAATCTTAATAAAACGATCTACTACAGTTCCGAAGTTTCTCGAACAGTGCATGCGTGGTTTGCACTGAGAATTACATACAGTATAATTAATTGAGTGATAACAGAACTTGTGGAAGGAACGTGGCAATATATTCATAGCATGAAACACTAAATATGCATATGCTTGAATGAACAGTAAATTCCAAGTTTGAAGCAAATAGTAATTTGGTTAGAATAATTCAATTAAACATATTTGTGACCCCACTAACCTGAACACGGGTATACATGTGTTGGTTTCTTGTAAAATGGCTTATAGCATGGCCCAGAAACACACAGGGACAAAAGAATAAGCACTGAATATATAACTCTTAACGAAAATTTTGTTTGAGGATCGGTCATACACAGGCAAAAAAATCACGTGCCAGTGATGAAAACTTTCCATTTTACAAATCATGAACACAGATGCAGTTTCTATACAATGATCCCCGTGGGGACTGCCAATTTGGAGCAATTTTCGGAGCAGTAAAATTTTAGTTTTGGAGCACTTTGGAGCAGTGATATCTTGGTTTTGGAGCATTTTAGAACAAGTAATCTTGCGATGAGGAGCATCTTGAAGCATTATAATTTAAGTTTTGAAGCAGGTAATCTTGAAATTAGGAGCACTTTGGAGCAGTAAAATTTTATTTGTGGAGGAGCATTTCGGTGCAGGCAATGTATAAGTCAAACCTCGTTATAATGAAGTTAAAAAGGGAGTCATAATTATTTCATTATGACCATTAGTTTGTTATAGGCAATATCGATTTCTACCGACAATGAGCCAGCAATAGAGAATGTACTCACTACCGAATACTACAGCAGCCCACCGCGTGGAGAAAAATGGTCGTCAGAAGGCAAAAAACTAGTGAAATAATAAAGAACAATGCACATTTATTTCCACCAAATGCGGCACACCAGCTGGAAGATCGTTTCGAAGAAAAATAGTCCATAATAGACTTTTACAGACTTTTCTTCACGCGTATGACTGCTTTTTAAAGCTTTAGCAGCTATTTCGAATCTGCCCTCATCGTCATTGTAAGCACCGAAAAACCGGCTATGCAAGTCTGTCGCATCCAGCGCTTGCACGGGCGACAGACTTGCTGAGCATGGAATGCATGACTGTCGTCATGCATTCCTGTCACCATGCGCATGATTTCTGCATCTGAGAACTTTTTCGTTGTCACCGCATCAGCACCAGATCCGACGTATGTGCAGAAAGTAGAAAGTGTCAGAGTTATGCACAACGCCAGATTCAAGGCGAGTGTCCCACGACGTCTGGGCCTGGTTGCCCCCGGCACCATCACTGGCGACATCGCCGAAATCTTCAACTACTTTTTTTTTTTTGTCGATGTCGAACTCAACGGCTTTCAACATTGCCGACTTCTGCTTGATTGTTATATTTTTGCGCTTACGTTTGCCACTGCTGTTGTACACCTTGTGTCGAGCGGCGAAACAAATGGAGGTGGTGCTGCTCTGCCAGAGCAAATGACGAGGAACAAAGCTACAATCTCCGGCGTCCCAGTGCGGAGCTCAAGGGGAAAAGGAGGTCAGAGGCAAGGGCAGGTCGATGGGTCTTACAAGAGAGGGAAAGCCGGCAGACACGCAGGCTCGCGTGTGCTGCTGCGTCAGCAAGTCCATTAGTTCCCGAGGAAAGAAGAGGCAGGGAGAGACACCCACATGCGTGTTGGCAGGCGATTCTCAGTGAGCGCAAGGCGCGAGTTTTGAATAACCGCAGCCGTGATGATAAGCAGTCGCGCTGTAAGATATTGAATTGATGTATACCCAAAATGATCAGTAAAGGCTCGTTGTGGACAAAGGATGGTTTGTTAGATCCATTGTGAGAAAATTTTCCCTTCGTTAAAACAAAGTTTTAAATACATGGGCATCTATGGTAATTTTAAAGGGAATTACAATTGCTTTATTATGTCTATTAGTTTGTTATACCCTGCTTTATTATAACGAGGTTCTACTTAACACGAAGCAGCTTGAGAAATAAACGTGGGCTCTACTACTGCTTGACAGAGGTGCTTCTAATATAAAATCAAGTGCACACGCGTGTGCACTTGATTGGATGCTCTGGATATCATCGTTGTATGGGATTATAACTTCAACGGCAGCGTGATGTCCTTGAAACACGACAATTGACAATCTGGTGGTCAAACAAGTACTTGAGGCCTTTTGTGGCATCTCGCCCTTTTATTTTACAGATATGTCGTGCTTGCTACATGTTGGTTTTGTTCCTACGTGTAGTAACGCATTTACTCGCCTAATGAGCACACTCGCACGTACCCCCAACTTCAGTCGTCAAAACTTGGATTTTTTTCCCCCGCGTAATTAACGCGCCACCTACATTCATCCACTGCAGTCCCGCTAACTGACACCTGGCGCCTTTTACCTTTGGATCTCTTCATTTTTCAATATTATGCTGAACCCCCTCGGCCACCTCGGCTTTCTCCCTTCTCCCGTTGCCCCGTGTCGTATTGTTTTTTCTATCTGTGCGTGGCACATCCCTCTTCTTCTTGATCTGTGTGGCACAGCGGGGTTCACAAATGCAAGTGTAGTGACATCGCAGCTGATAAGCACACAGCGAGAGAGAGAAAACAAAGGTCACGAATCTGCCCGTGCCGACCGATAATTGCTTCCTGCAAATACAAAACTGTAAGATCTTACGACGTGCATGCTATTTTCGAGCAATGATGATAGGATTTGCTGTGACGAAGAGTCAATCATCATTATCACGCCTCAGGTTTCTGGAGAAAAAAACAAAAAAAAAAAAAAAACGCTTGTCACTCAGAAAAGATTGTGACGATTTCCACAACGTGGCAGCACCCCGGATTCTCGCTTCATTTGTTTGCCGCGCGTACAGAAACTTCTTATGTGGAAGAGAGATGGCAGCCCTATTTTGTCGTTAATCTTGTTATTGACGGTTTGTTTTGATGTTTCCGAGGTAGCTTGCTGCAATATTGGTTACTTGCTACAATAACAACGACGTCGGCGTGCGAGATTGCCGGGAAGTTGGCAAAGTGCGTCATAGCGCACGCTTTTGAGCGCCCCCTTAAGATCACAGCAGATACCATTGTTGCCGTTAAACGATCACAAGAAAAGATATCAGCAAAACACTTTTTTGCATGCATGGGTGGCGCGGGGAAAGTTTGAAAGAAAGTAGTGCCATCTACCACCGAAGATGAGTAAAGTGCAGCAAAGAACATGTTTCCAAACGGTCACTGCATATGCGAAAAGGTAAGTGTCCTAACTTTTTTTGCATTACAGCATTTTTTGCTCATCTCGAAAAAGTTTTCATGAGCTCCGCATAATGAACGCACCACCAAGTTTGCTCTGATTTTTCGAGAAATAAAGTGCATTCATTACGAAAGTAAATACAGCATTCCTTGCTGCAACCGGGTTATGTTTGCAAACAAGTTTCGTTTGTGATTAGGGTATATATACATGGCATAAGTGAGTAAACCAATGCAGAACTAACACCACTGAAATCACCATCATGAACAGTGACATATCTCTAGCCTTCTGCTATAGTTGCGCTCATAGGAGCTTTGGTTGCGGTCCTGCCACAGGGTGAGGTTGAATTTCGTAGCTCCGCAAATCTACTGGCGGCCAATTTTTCAAAGCCGCAATGGCCTGTTTGCAGGAAGGTAAAGAATTCTCTCATTAGACTCAACCACTGTCTCCGGTAATTAAAACATTAATTAATGTTATTGAAATACTACCGCAATCACAGTATCTAGCGATTTCAAGATTTCTGACGTCATTCCGGGAGCCGCATAAAACTGCCCAGCAAGCCACATGTGATCCAAGGGGTGCAGGTTGCGGACCCCTGAGATAGATGATTTGGTGAAGCTTGGCACAATTTACGTCAATTTTATCAGGTTGGCACAGCGAATCTTGTTTGGCGCACTTTGGCGCATGAGTGGGATCCCTGTATATATTGTAATAAGTCCATTTCAGAGCATGTGTAAATACTGAATTTCTTCGGCAAACAATGACAATGACGACTGGCAGTGGCCGCCAGCAAAAAAGATGCAATCTGTTTCTACAATCAAACTAACAGAATCAGATTTACTTCAAGTAAGAATGACAATGGCTTCTAGGCATGCACATGTTTTGCGGTGGAATGCTAAAAAAAGCATTAACTGACACTCTTTTTACTTTGTTTCCCTCCTTTATGTATCTGACCTATGCCTGCATGAGACGAGGAGGCAATAAATCTGATCCTATTGTTTCTCATCCCAGATGGTGGTAGTCATGCTGGATTCCTGCCCCAATTTGTTCGAAGCTGAAAAGACAATCTTTACATTCACCAAGGTTTTACTGAACATGGAAAACCTAATTTCCCCCTTTGTTAAGCGATTTTCTTCTACTAAAGACAGGAAATTGTTCAGCAACACTACAAGAATCCCAGAGATAGTTAAGTGAAGGAAAGTACACAAGAGAATATTTGTTGTTTTTTAACTGTATTGTAATTGTTAAGTCAATACACTGAAATGAACCAAACTGAACACCCATTCTATTGACGATGCCCGTACTTCCTCAACCTCTAAAGTCAAGGTTACCGGTTCCCACCCAACCAATGAA